AACATTCGACTTATAACTGCAGACTGAACCAGGTGTCTCGGCTTCTATACTCGAGTAAGATTTTATTCGAAAAGTTTTCTGTAACAGCAGAAATCTGGAATCGATGTGTACCTACAATGGTGAAATTGGTATTAATAATTTATTTTTTTATTTTAGACTTCATGCACAAAACATAGTACATAGGCGGACTTAATGCAATAAGCATTCTCTACCAGTCTACTTTTGGGTGATGCAGAGATAATCAGTGCCAGGTGCAAGAAGCAAGCAAATTCAATTAAATATACCAAACATATATATATAAATATACATAATACACTTATATATCGGCACTATTATCTTTTTGAGTATCAAAATGGTTCATATACATTTGAAGTGATGTATTAATATTTAAGGAGAGACATTGCTTCGGTAAGAATGTGTTGATGTGTCTTCACAGAACACTAGCGTAAAACTACGCTTATGTTGTATGGATTGGTCGACTAACTGGAGGCTAAATCCTCTTTTATTTGGTATTTCAAGCCCCAACCCTAGAAACCCAAACGACCAACATACTTTCAGATGCTTACCATTAGAAATTTGGTTTGCTCTAAGAAAAAAAAATCTTTAGAAACTGTGTAATTTTCCTATACACCGTGACTTTTTAGTCGTCTTACAAAGGCAGCCCAGTTCATGTATCCAATGACTAGTAAACGTTCATGATAAAAATTAAAACAATAATGAGATTTAAATAAATTAAAAATAAAAATATTATTCATTATTATGACGCAAGGCGTAGTTTTAGAAACACTTTGTAGCAAGCGCGGTCCATGCCTTCACCTAATTTCAAGTGAAAGGGGCGGGGCATCGCGTGCGCCGACGTTGTCTAAGGATAGCGTTAGACAATCTGATTGAGCTATGCTAGATTGGTTTACGATATTTTGTCTCGTAGAAAATGGAGATGGAAGATACTCTACAGTTTAATAAGTAAAGATTTTTAACAGGCTGTTTCATATTTCTAATGTTTTATTAATATTTTTCGTATCTATTATCTTAATTAATGATAAAAAAAATAATCGCTAGAGGTATTTTATGTCGAATACATTAACTGGACAACTTTGTAAGAAACTAAAAAGTAACGGTGTATATTTACATTTTCTTAATACTTACATTGAAAAACATTTGGTAAACACTGTGTTTACACCTTTAAACACAGACAAATCAACAAAGACGTGTTTAGTATTTGTTTGTTTAGAAAATTAGAGGTCGTTGCTCTTTTATAAGAACAGTCTAGATACTCTAGTTAATTATCAAATAATTGAAAAGAAGTAGACTGGAAAATTAATCGAGATAATACTATTTAACCGAGTTTTAGCCATTACGATTAAAATTCTATTCAAGAAAATACAAATATGTTTAGGAAGATAATCTGTGAATACCAGTTACCTCATTCCGATGTCTTTTAGAATAAAATTTCGCGTTAATGTAAGCGAGTCTTAGTGTGAAAGAACCATACTTCGGCATGAATGCATCAGCCCGATCTTAGATTAATGTTTGTGTGATGAGGTTCCCGGAGCGACGGTTGGAGATTTCACTTCATACATCCCTAATCACCAAATCTCCTAATCTTCAAATATTTACCAAATCATGTGTATTTAGTTTTTAGTAATGCGGTTGTCGGACAACGCCGATTGCTTAACATTATGCGTTAAATCAGATTTATCAGAATTAGAATCAGAATCCATACGAGTATATTATATATTATTAGTATCCAGTTATTGCCTGATGACCGACCACATAAAAAAATGACGCTTATTTGAATTCTCACATCGACTACAACTGGGTAGATTCCTTGGTCAAAAATAAATTAATTCGACGTTTCAATACAATAAAATATTGAAAAATAACTATAATTTTATTCATCGATGGATCGATACACTAAGTTTTAGGTTTTTTTTAGCTAATTTACTAAGAAATAAGTAAGCTATTTGACGTAAAAATGTTCTGACGTCATAACTCAGTGTTTCATACAAATTTCATAGAAAAGTATCGTTTTTGACGTTTGCATAAAAGTAGAATTTGACTTGTGGAAACTACCGTATTATTGTGTTTATGTAATAGAAGGCAAACGAGTAGGCGTATCACCTTATGATAAGTGATTAGGAGATGATCACTAGTAATCAAATGCAAGTGACCCACGAGCACCATGAACACCTGTATCATCAAAAGGCGTCACAGGTGCGTTGGCGAACTTTTACGAAGGTGTACGCGCTATTTTGCATGTTTGAAGGTCGTGCGGTTGGGAAATACCACCGATTGATTGTATAAAAAACGCAACATTATTTGAGTTTTAAAATAGTCAAAAATAAATATAATAGGTAAAAGGGTGCTTACGTTGGACCTAACTAAATGTTCTTCAACCGCTTAGTCCTTCGGAGAAATACAGAAAAAAGATTTAATGTTATTTTAATACACATCTTAGAAAATGTTTTCTGTAGGTGCCTGTGTTATTTTTGGGTTCGAAATACTGAAATACACGTGTACTGTCAATAATACTATTTGCTATTACATTGAAATACTTACTGAAATGTCTGCTTAACTGAAAACTATTAAGTTTGTTTATAAAAGGTGTACTTACAAGTACTTTGAAAAATATATATATGTACATATCGATGCTTCCGGCAACAAATGTCCTAAACGCCATTTTGGCGAAAATGAGTTAAGAATGCAGCCCTACTTAATTTTTGGCGCTGCGTCGATCTAAAAATGTGAAAAAAATATTCGCCTAAAAAAACATACTGTTACACCCAAAATTTGTACTAGTATAATCAAGATTTTTTTGAAAAGAGGGTATGTATAACTCATATTGCTTAGAACCGAATAACCGTGCAGGTCGTATAATACAACTTACAAACAGCTGTCGGTCGTACAAACATGAATACATAATTAATTGTAATTACACCCCACAATCATTTTTAAAACGTAAGTTCTGTTGAGAAACAAATGTCGTAATGTCACTTGGTCTTGGAGAATTTGTTTGAAAAATGAATTATGTAGGTCGTTTTTTTTTATGTAATAGGTCGGCAAACGAGCAGACGGATTACCTGATGGTAAGCAATCAGCGCCGCCCATGGACACTCGCAACGGAGGAGTTACGAGTGCGTTGCCGACCTTTTAGGGATTAGGGATTGAGGAGGGATTGGGGAAGGGAAAGGATTGGGCCTCCAGTAACCTCACTCACACGGCGAAACATAGCGCATTGGTTATTTCACGCCGGTTTTCTGTGAGGCCGTGGTATCACTCCGGTCGAGCCGACCCATTCGTGCCGAAGCATGGCTCTCCCACACTTAAACGTACAGCGTACTCCTAATTTTTTTAATAGGGTCAGTCTCATATTGTCATTGATACTCTTCCTGAGACTGACGAGGAAGATGAAATTTCTGATTAATTATCTTCTATCAGAAAATCAGGTCTTCAAATTTCTGGTTAATAATCTTCTATCCAATGACAGAAGCTTATTAATCAGAAATTTGAAGACCTGATTTTCTATAACTCGTCGTCGTATTATGTTTTGCATCTACTTTTTTAATATATTGTCGATAACACTTTTCCATTTTCACCAACGACACTAAAAGTTCGGTTTAGACCATAGTATAGAAGCTTACTACACTAAAAGTTAGGTTTAGACCATAGTATAGAAGCTTAAAATTATTAGAGCATTACTGCTCTAATAATTCTAATAGCTTGGTAGAATATTTACTTATATTTTTTTGTAATTCATTATCAATACGTTTTAAAAAAATGTCGTGATTATAAAATCTTCTTGAAATCCATGAAACAAAATGATTACTTAACATTTTGATTTATTTCTGGCTGGTTAGATACGTCGTTGGAGGTAGAACACTATAGGCATCTTGTAACAAACGCTTGATTAAATTATATACGGGAAGATGCCTATAATATACTTACTTAAGTGTATTTTTATACCTTTAGGACCTGCCAGTCGAAAGGACTATAGACTTTCGCTTCAGATATTTCCATGTTTGTTACATACCATCGCATCAGATCGTGGTATTTACACTCATTTTTATTTCAGTATATGGTTTTTAAAACCAAACCCAGAACTATTGTATTTAAAAACTGGTGCATACTTCTAACTTCCGTTAGACAAATCGTTCTCCATTGATTTGTTAGTGGTCGTAAATACCAACTTCTTGAATTTTCTGGGGTGTATGTCCAAGCTAACTTTTAAAATAAGGCTTTGACACAAATAGCAGTAATATATTATGAAACACCATCGTTTTTTACGTATTTCTTGTATAGAACACAATTTTACAACTTTTAAAGTTAAAAAGATATAAGCCAAAAACGAAATTATTTTTTGTTTTTCGTTGATTACCAAAAGTGCTATTTTGGTGTTTACGACCTTTGTTGTCGGAAGCATCGATATGTTGAAGTCAAAACATGTGAAATAACAAACTAATATTGATGTGAAATTAAGTTTATTTCATATTGAAAAATAAACTTTCTCAACGTGGATAGTTCGTAAATATCTACAGGCTTTATTGATAATAATATAATTACATAAGTAGAACCCGATCTCCAATCTTGGGGATTGGAGATCGGGTCCCTAATTTATCATTCTAGTAAATATTTACAAAATACTGATTTTCCATGCTACAAAGAATACAAATAACCACAAGTATATAAATACTACAAGTTACGTTTACATTCGGCATGAATACAACCTAATTTTATATTTGCATAGAGCCAATAGAGCCGATTAGCTCTTATACCTATTTGCTTTTATCAACGGTTGTACTGAATCAACCCAACGCGCTGGATGAACAGACCTTTCCTAGCTATCTGAAACAACGTACTTGTATAATGGCAACAATTTCTTGCCACCAGGGGCGTTCGTTGATTTATTAAATAATAAAAAAAGTATTTACACATACATACACAGTACACCATATTTGTTCTAACGAAAGACGAGAAGATTGCAAAATCAAACAGCAAGACGTGTTCTATTATTACTTTATATTGGTCCTTTACAGAGTTAATCTTAAAAGCTAATACAATAAATAAAATACCAAATAAACTTATCTATTAAATTTCGCTATAATCTCACTCACGGCCGCATAACAGCCAGATACTAACACAATGATATAAAATATCAACAATAAGACGTTTTTCCATAATATATGGGAATATTTGCCTAGCCCACGCTCCCACTTGTGGACTGTCTCCACGGCTACTGGTATGAGAAGACCAAGGGTTGAGAAGAAGATGGCTCCAACGAGACCTATTAGAAGTTCCAAGTCTGGTACTGCGATTGCCAGGATTACTGAAACCAATTATAAAGAATGTTATAGAGATTTAATGGTATATCAAGTTAAATATTTTTTCTTAAGATACATTTTAGAGTATGCGTGGTTACTTTCAATATTAATTTATAATTATTTAAGTAAGACTAAACTCGAAATCGTCTAATAAAATTTCTTTTAAAACTTGACTTGATAAATTTTGTTACCTGTTAGTGTAACTGCGAGGGTTCTCAGTACAATTTGACTGATATTATGATAGTCCTTCCTAATTCTGATCTTAATCCTTGTCCATATAATGTCCATTGGTGCGTACATTTGAAGGCAGTAGGTGAAAAATACCGCAACAGCTACTAAAATCTTTGCAGTCAATGCCAAACTGTGAACAAAAACAAAGTTGGAGGGAAATGTACTTAAAAAAACCTAACTCAAATTTCTTAATAAAAAAAATGCCAACGACTTGTAAAACGTTCCATTTGTCATTTTAAAAATGTTCTATTAAAAATAGCCACTGCTTATTTACGACCAAACTATTAAGCTCTTTTGAAAGAAAATACAGATAATAATATTATAAAATTTCTTAAAAATTGACCCCTGGGCCGAGGGTGGGTAATAAAACCAATTTGTGGTGGACATTAAACCTTTATTACCTCTATAATTTTTATTTCTAACCTCTCCAATGTTTTAAGTCTTTTCTAAGATTTTCTACAAAGTTAAAAAGCTATAAATCGCCCAGCAAAGATTCTTGATCAAATTCAAACTAAGATCCTATTTTGGTCTCTAAGGTTTCACTTGAAGTCTATAATGCAAAACGACTTCTTTAGTTTTAGCTGAACTTTGCAGAATTCAAACTAAATTCAAAGAGAATAGAATAAACTGCAAATCTATTTAGTCTTATTTTTCAATGTCTTTTGAGAGACTTAAACATTTTACAATTGAATAAGCAAAATCCAGTTTTCTTAGAACAGTGCAGTCAAAATATTAAATTTGTGCCTGGCTTATGGGCTGAATGGAATGTTATTCTAAGTATTTAAGAGATTCTAACATAAACAGTTTTGGATTACGGATCATAAAACTCATATTTTCGTCGTTTATTTGTCAGTTTTTGGCAAGATGCCAAAGATAATTTCTTCATAATATTTATACTTACGAAGTATTTAGAAATTAATCTTGGCTATTTAGTTCATAAAGTATCATTCATTAACCCTAACTTAATTAGCAATTATATTAAGCCTTGACTAATTAGTGCACATCATATAATTTTTTGGTTATACAGGTACTTAATAGAAACGTGTTAATTTAGGAGATATTTTAGTAAGTATATAATTTCTTTAGAAGACTTGTCGGAGAAGAGTCTATCTATGCAATGTGTTGACAAAATGATACACGACAACTTGGCTAATAAAAGAAAATTTATAATATGAGTTTTATTCTTTTTGGGCTTTCATAAAACTACGCGATATGCTGATTTCACATATGGACGGAAGTTTTATTTCTTACGTAAGTAATGAAGATTAAGAAATGAGAATAAATTTGTTATAAGACATTTTTTATGTAATTGGTTGACTGTAGAGCAAGCGGTATCCGTTAATAAACAATTAACACCGCCCATGATCGAACCTTATCGGGGGAGTTACGGGTGCGTGGCTGACATTTTGGAGATAAGGGGTTTAGAGATAAGGGTTTTGGAGATTTGGGTATTGCAGAGGGCGGAGAATGATTTAGCCTCCTATAAATTGTAGCGTGATGTTTTATATCCTTTTATTCAGTTTTATCTAGTAGTTACGGAAATTAGCGCGTTCAAACAAACAAACAAACTCTGCAGGTTTATAATATTAGTATAAATTATACAGGTTTGTGATAGTTTACATAAATAATAATAAAGCCTATATTTCCGTAGTTATCATTTACCGGTCCATAATCACTCACACCCAAAACCATATAATTTTCTGCCATATTGCACAATAGTCCTGCATCAACCGGGGATTGTCCTTGGGTGCACTTTTATAGTGCACACAGGGATAATTGCCGACTGCTGTCCTATCACATTTAGATTAGAACTGTTCAACGGGCCTTTGCAAGTTGGCTTCGGCCCCTCGTACGCTTTCCAAAAAACCGGCACACTGTGGTTCCGAGAATGGAAACGAACATATAAAGCCTATATTAAACATAATTATTAATTTTGTGATAAGCAAATAAAGAGTAGGTAAGTTTCTATCTATCGATTTATAAATTTTTGAGAAACATTAGCAAATGTAATAGAAGATTTCTTAGTCAAACACAATTACAAGGAAGCAAAACTCAAATACGCAACAACTTTACGAAATAGCCAACAAAGTTTGTTTCACTTTTGTTCGCTCATTAATGAATAAAATATTATTGTTTTCAAACAATAATATTTTATTCATTTCCTATATTGAAAGTAGAAATGGCTGTGTTAAAATTAAATATGTTTGTAGAACAAATTAAATACCCATTAATTTATTTATAATTATAAATTTACTAGCTACTCTTAGGTATGCGGTTTTACCCGCTGCTCGGCTCCCACAGATCGTAGTGAGATGATTTATAAAATTTATGACATCGATAAATGGAATGTAATCACGAAAAGACTACTACAATTTGACTTAGTAGTCCCGGAGATTAGTGTGTTCAAACAACTAAACTCTACAGCTTTATAATATTAATATAGATGTTTGATTAGCTAGTTAATTGCTTCAATATTGTTTAGGTTAATAATTATAAAGCAAATTATTTTTTTATGTGATTTCAATAATTTTATGTATCAGTAAATAATTTTATTTAAAATATTATGATTTTTGGTGAAAACAAAGTAGAGACAAAGTAATTATAATTACTATGTTTGACTTTCTATGAATAAATCAATAAAACATATTTCAAAGTCTATTCCAAATACACTGATAATTTTATTGTACCTACACATATTTTCAGCGACTATCACAAAATAAAATCAGATTATTTATTACTTTGCGACGCGGTTGCCGATAGAATACCCTACAATTTAATTAAAAGGAAGAGATAGTTGGATTAAAAAATCCTACCCATATTATGAATGGAAAAATTATTTCGTATGGATGGGAGGCTAGATATTTGTCACTCTTTTATTGAAGAACTACTGAATAGATCTTAATGAACTTTGGCATAGAGATAGGTTGTAGTCTGGAGTAACGCATAGGCTATTTTTTACTCTGAAACTTCTACCGTATAAAGTTTCAACACGTTATCGTTTTAAGTTTTCTATAATACCTCGGTAGGCTATGTACTCGACCACAGGGCCCAAAAGGACCGATGTTTAGATAGGGTTGTGGGTCAAGCGCAATGAGGTACGTTTCGCCTTAGAGCAAGAGAAGGAATGGGGGCATTAGCATTGCACCCATGCAAAGCCGAAGCGGGTCGCTAGAATTATAATATGTTAAATCATCACACCAATTACAAAAAAAGCAAACTGACTTAGAAATGGGATTTATTCCCGCTCCACGTCGCGTTGACTTTTATGATACTCGTATCAAAAAATGTTTTGTTCCGTTTCAGATTTTTATTATTTTTGCGGATACTTCCAGATGGTTTAGAATGAAAGAAAGAAAGAAAGAAAGAAAATACATTTATTCGGCATCAGACATGAAAGCCAGAAAAAAAAACAAAAATACAACACAAAAAACAATAAAAAGGTTAAAAAAACAGAAAAACAAAAATACGCTAAATATACAGTATTGGCAGACAGCAGAACACACAGTGTTGACAGTGTTCTACAGGGTTGGCAGACATGTCTAAACCGAACGGGTCGCCAACTCAGCAAAAAGCTGGGCACACTGAGCACCCAACACTGATTTTCAGTTGGCACCCCTGCAGTGACTCATTGTGAGGACCACCTAGAGGATACGGTGGAGTATGCTCCACCGTATCCTCTTTACCGTATGCCTGGGCTGAGCACCGCCGTATCCTCAGGGAAGTGATCGGCGGCGGCGACCTCTCGCGCCCGGCCTTAGTCGAGGCCATGGTGCGGAGTGAGAGGAACTGGGACGCCGTCTCCTCCTTTTGTGAAGCAGTCATGCTCGCAAAGAGAGAGGCGGCCCGCGTGAGGCCGCCAGTTGCCCCAGCAGCCGCAACTGGCGACACTACGGGCGTCGGGGATCGAGGGACGATCTCCGGCCACCGTAAGCACGGGCCTGCGGTCGGCGAGTAAGGGCAGCTCGCCGCCCGACCAGAACCAGGCCCGAGCGTACGGCGCGTAGCGTTCCGCGCGCGCCTCAAAGAGCCATTCGACCACCACAGACGGGGCCCTAAAGGGCTGATGTTCAGCCGGGGTTGCGGGGTAAGCGCAATGAGGTACCGCGACCTCGGCACAGAGCAGGAGAAGGAACAGGGGGGTTTTTAGTCAGTAAGAGTCTGACACTCCCTCCTGCCCGGCCCTGGGCGGTAGAAGTCATTTGATGATTTTCCCCTCACAAAAAAAACCCCTGCAGTGACGCACGGACGAAAGCAACGCATAACGAGTACGTTCAGATTATAATATAAGAAATACATTAAATTAAATATAAATTATAAGAGCAAAGATCATGTTCAAATGAAGAAAAGATACATGGAAAAATAATACCAGAATATATCTAAAACACTAGGAAAAAAAAACATTTTGTAATATGAGGATATTTATTATAATTCAAATGTACCGTGGGGTATTTGCAATATAAAGCACCATGAAATCGCAGTAGTAAACTCAGAAGTTGTGGGTAATCAGGGTGTCACGTCGGTTACATTCTGCTGCGCGGTTCAGCGCTCATTTGTCCGTGGATCCGTATACCCACGTCGCGATGTTATTGTGTGATTGAAAATCGAGCCGTGACGGGGTGAGTCTTTAATTTATTAAATATATATAATTACATAATAATATAAAATTGAGTAGTACAGATTATTTATAGATAATATAAAATGTAAAAAATGTAAAATGTGTGACTGAATATGTTTTAATTAGAAAATTAGTGATAGTTATAATCGGTAAAAAACAAAACAAAATAGTTAAACAATCAAATTAAATAAAAGAATGTGTGTATATCAACATATATAACAGTGTGGACCTTCGACCTCATTTATAGAGATAAGGCAAGCGCAAGAAGATGCAGCCTGCTGCTACAACGCCCTGCATATTTTGTGTTTTAAAGTGAGGTTACCGGAGGCCCAAGCCTTTCCCGCCTCCAATCCCTCCCCAATTCCAAATTCTTCAAATCCCATAACCCCAAAAGGTCAGCAACGCACTCGCGCTAACTATTCCGCTTTTGCGGTTGGCCGGAACTGATTGCTCACCATCAGGTAATTGGTATGCTAGTTTGCCGTCCTATCACATAAAAAAACGCAGCCTTAGTATGCTATTATCATAATATACTTACATTTCACCTTCAGGCAGATTCAACGTAATGCTACCAAGAACGCCATCTCCATACTTCATGTAACCAAATATTCCGACGACTCCGTACAAAATGGCTACAAATATCATGGTCACGTTCAGTACGCTAGGACAGCCCAGGAAATGTTGAGGTTTCGCCATCTCATTCTCAACTGGCATGACAACGTTTATTCCTTCCATTGCAAATATGGCCGTACTGAAAACGAAAATGAAGATATAATTTATGATTTAAATTAAATGTTCTATTGAGAAGTAACTATCAAATTACTATTATTGTCGTGAATAAATAAAAAAAAATGTCTGTAACTTTTACAACACAACTTTTAACAATTGTCACTATCTACCTACAAAGAGTAGGTTCTTAATACGGGAGGTTTATTTATTTTTTCTATGGGGATTAGAATTTATTGTAGAGATTAAGCATGAAAAGTACATGATACATAATATGCCTACAAAATACAAGCATTTCAACGATATTTTGGTCGAGAAATTGACAGAGGTATTTTTTCACTTTTAAGTTTTATACACTCAAAAGTTAATTAGTCTTAAATTGTGTTGAAATAATTAATTTATACCTTTTCGTTCAAACTATGGCCGTTACAGATGTAATAATTCCTACAACTAAGATTATACCCATATTAATGACTTAGGAAATTGTTCTTTGCAGTTACAAACTCATCTAAGGACTAGAAGCATTATAAATGGGAAATGACATTTTTATATGCACATAACCAGTTATACATGGAGATGGGAGACAAGCCTATGGCGACATACCGAAAAAAAATTAAATTACGTGCTATTACTTAAAAATTTTCGGAAGACCGAAAAATGCCATCAGGTTAGAAGAGGCCTGATCCTTCCTCTTACACTATCCCTCCCTAATCCCTTAACCTTCAAAATTCTAATCCTCAAGAGGCTGGAAAAGCAGTAGTAACTCTTCTGGTGTTGCGAGACTATATAGGCGGCGCTGGTTGCTTACCATTAGGTAATCGGTCAGATCGTTTGCCAGTCTCTCATATAAAAAATACACGGTAGTCGGGTCGAGTCTCGGTCGGTCGCCAACGAGTCTATTACAGTTCATTACTTTATATCATACATATCTTTATTATCCCACTCATGAATAAACATGATAAAATTTCATTTTCCTTAATTGTTTTCAGCGAAGTTCATGAATATAGAGAAGAAAATTATGTCCATACATAGTAAAAACTGTAGTAAATCTATAAATTGTCTTTTTAAAATCAATTATTTTGGCGCACATACTTAAATAGCTGGTAAATTACGTTTTTGAGAATGTATTTAATTAAAATACTCAGAAACAACGCGATATTCATAAAATGGCTGCAACGGCTAATATATTGATAAACGATGCAGAAAGTTGCCTTAAAGTAGGACTTGTTCCTATGTCGCATTTACAAACATACAATATGACCTACACTTCACAACTAGGCGACAACTGAACCCACGAGACGTTGCACGGCAGCCGGCTGCCCAACCATTGCGCTACTTGTGCAGTCGATAAAAAACTTTAATACACCTAACGATGCAAACAATGAAATATTTCAATTGATACATTCGAACAGTTGGTTCGAAGAAATTGAATGAATATTGGTAAATATAAAAACAGAGTAATAAAAAAATTGCCAATTATTCGAGATTCGAAATGCGTACAAATATCCATATGGCACGATAAAAAATATTGTTCCAGAAACTCCGCTTTGCTTTATTTTATTAACGAATATCAAAATGGCCCGTTTAGTAATATAAGTTATCCAATTGTTAAAAGTCTAATAATAGGTTTTTACTTATGAAATTGCCCTTTTGCATGAAAAAATTGAAACGATTTTTTTTTATTTGAAATGCGATGAAAATGTAACACTAATTAATAAACAAATGACTACTTTTGGAAAAAGAGTCCCATGTTTTTAAAACAAAATTAATTAGCCTTAGCCTAACAAAAACTATTTTGATTTGAAATGGCCAGTACTGCAGAACGGCAATCTCATAGGTAAAGACCTATTATATTGGCAATCAATCAGAAATAAATCTTTTAATTTGGTGTAAAGAAACTTCCTTTGATATATTTGTTCTTACATGTTGAATGCCGTGGCGACGGCAGTGAATGAGTTTAGTGAGAATATTTTTTTTTAAATCAGGTGTGGATCTAACCGACAAAAGTGACACCACGGCCTCAGAGGAAACTGACTTGAAGTAACCACATGGTTGTTTTGTCGTGTGACTGAGGTTGCCGGAAGCCCAGTCCTGTCTCCCCTTCCATCCCTCACCAAATTCCTAAATCTACGAAACCATAATTTGTCCTCATTTTTTTTTAAATAATGTTGGCTTATACTTTTCTTTTAAGAAACACGTAGTGTTTTAGAAAAAAAATATTTACCTTAAAAACAGCGGCCATTTTGTGACACTGGCAACCATGTCTATATTATTCAAAGGAGGTAGATCTGTGAACGTATAGTAGCAGGTGATCCCGAACGTGATCACGAGGCAAACGTTGGCGAGAACGGAGAATGGAACCAGAAATTTTAAGTGACGGATTTGAGTGATCAGGATTAGCGGGACGAGTAGGATCCCACAGTAAACTTCCACCTCGTACTTCGTCGATGGTATGAAGTGGTCGAAAATCTGAAAAAAAAATTATTGTTGTTTTATCGGAAGAAAGACAGAAAAAATATATATTTGACACTGGAAATGCCGCACAACACACCAAATGTAAAATAAGGTTATTGTTATTGTTGTTGTAACAGTAATCGGTTCACATTTAACGAAATTCTGTGTTGATTTTAGGTTTTCTTGTACCTACTGTTGTATTATATCAGTTTTGTAAATAAAACTTTTTAAATTCTTAACATTTTAACTTTTAAGTCATATTCTACTTTTGCACGTTGCCCATAATTGGTTTTGTTGATGCCGTACAAACATAACATAAAACACATACATTACACCCAGACCCGGAACAATAATTGGTGAATTACACAAAGAATTGTTCCGTGCAGGATCCACGAGACCTATTGCACAACAGCCAGTTGCACAAACATTGCACCAATAGTGTTAGTGTTTGTGTTGTGTGTGTGTAATTAATTATTATTATATCTCTACTGAATATTATAAAGAGGTTAAATGTTTAAACTTGTAAGTTTGTAAGTTTGTATGCACTGGGTAATCTTTGGAACTGCTGGTCGGATTGCCAAAATTCTTTCACTGATAGATAGCTACAATGTTCCTGAGTGCTGTTAAAATGTTCCTGAGTGAAACCGCGGGAAAGTAGCTAGTACCTAAATATAAATAAATTATAACGATAAAATAAATAATCCCTATTTAAAAATAACCAATGAAAAAGTTTTTAAAACACATTGAGCTTTACCGAGCCACTGCCTAGCAAAGGCCTTTTCCCATGTGAAGAAAGATCGTGCATTAATCGCCATGCATGCTCGAGACGGATTAGCGTTTTATAATTAGAAATTCGGTTTCCTTCAAAAATATTGTTAGTGGTATCAAAATAATATAAGATTGTACATTAGACTACGCCACGATACATTTGCTTTAAATAACAACGCAATCAAATACTATTGCACTTTTCAAGTTTTCAGTTAAACATTGTAAATAGTTTTGAGTTTTCATCCCTAATAAATCAGGGAGCAAAAATGTATAAATTAAACACCCAATTTCAACGTGATAACTATGGCACTACTAGCTATACAGTTAACAAACGTCAATCGAAAGTATTTCACAGAAATCCCATTAAAACTTCAAATACTTTTGATCAGTATTTTATTGTTTGTTATCAAACAGTAATGAAACTTAGCAAATAAATCTAGTTACATTTGCGTGAATCTGTAATTAAAACGTCGGTAAATACATACCTAGTTCGAACATTTGCATTCTCTACACAATCAATATGTACACAGAGAGATGCAATTTTCGAAACGATAAACTAAAACCAATTCCCAGCGATTTAATAAGTTTAGTATTGAAACACTATATTAATCAATGAATCAAAGTTGCGTGTCAATGTTTATTGCATGGTATATTGAAATGTTCGTGTGTAAGGAAATAGGGCATCCCATTACTTAATATCTTCTTTGACTGCACGATTGGCGCGGTGGCTGGGTAGCTGGGTAGCTGGCTGGCGCGCAACGTGTCGCGTGTTCGATTCCCGCACGGAACAACTCTTTGTTTGATTCACAGATAGTTGTTCCGGGTCTGGGTGTGATGTGCATGTGAAATTGTATGTTTGTAAACGCACCCACGACACAGGAGAAAATCCTAGTGTGGGACAACGTTTTTAACACAAATAAAAAAAAATCTTCTACTAGGTAAAAAAGATTGGGTGGTCTGTTACTGCCGCTGGATAGGGAGAGCTTAGTAGACGGAAAATTTATGGTGATGGTGACTAAAAAATAATTAAACATTATTATTTGCTAAAATATTGTCGGTATCATCATTAACCAGACTTTTTTCATCTACTGCTGGATTTATTCTAAGACTAATAATTAGCACGCTATATAGCTCAATCTTATGCTCTTCTCATCCAACCATAGGTTAGCATAAACAGTGCGCTTTTCTTTTAACTTTATGCCTCTCACAGCAAAACTTAACAATGACTTATTGTCGTCAGTATATTTGACCTTCAAACTTCCAGTTAAAGAGCGTTATTTTAAAAAGGGAAGCAAGGCAATTGTTGTATCTTTGGTATTATAGGTGCCCATGGATGGTTCTTACCCGTCTTCACATTTGCCTCTTAATCCCAAACTTCACCCGCGCTCGGTAACTCTTACTGACTATAAACCAACCCGTTTCTTCTCCTGCTAAGAGTTGGTGCGCGGTAAATCATTATGCATGTACCTGCGACATTGGCTCTTGAGAGAGTGACTTGATCAGTGGCTAAATTTTAGTCTTTAAAGATGTTGGAGCCAATTGATTTTTAATTTCTCTTCATTTTAAGGGTTAAGATTGAGAACTAACACTACCATTATTTTTACCTTTCAATCTGGGTAATTCGAGACCTAATACAGGGACATAGGGTTTTAGAAATTAAGCTAAAATTGATTCTAATAGTCTTATTACACATGGGCTTTCGATAGTAAAATTAGTGATTTCTGAAGCTGAAAACTTTAACAACAAAAGCAATAATCGATTTGCAAAAAGTAAGTAATGATATGCCAACAAAATGATATCAATTTGACTTTGACACGATCTTAAATGTTGGTGAAACTTCAAATGAATACTTTCAATGATCACATATTATTATGATTATATCAGTACCATACTCGTATATTCTAAGAAATAAGTTTCAAGTAATTTCTTTTCTATACAATAAAATACCAAATACTTTCTTTTGTGTGTGTATAAAATATATGTTTTGTTGTTAGACCGTGAACTTTATTTTATTTAGTATTGTGTATAAGTTCATTATCGAAAACAATACCTAGTGTTTGCAGTTTCTACCTACTATTAAAAGAAAATATTTACTAAGAGCACGAACTTCTTTTCTCAGTTTTGAACATGTTTTAGTTTAAACAGAAACAAAAGAAAATGTTCTTAGAAATATTCTTCTTTATTCCTTTATATCTTCTTACACGAGTTCGAAGATTGATAGGTAAAAGACGCCATTAACATTTTTTTTTATTTTTATTTTTTGGTCCCGATTACGAAAACATTATCCGTCTTGTAGTTTTGTATGACATAATTAAATATGTCAAAAAATGTTTGCCTTTTTTTAAAAACCCCTCAAGGTAGACTCAGAAATAAATAGCGAATTTTAGTTGAAAGTTGTCCAATAATTTTGTTTCTTGTCTTTTTTAATAACAACGATCTCAAAATGTTGTATATAATTCTGGAATTTATCTATTTTATTATAGGACCAATGACTTAATTGCTCAATGAGAGAAATACAGTACAAATCCCTTACTAAAATGTCCAAGAAGGCCCGTAGCATTCAGATTTTAAACAAAAATAAAAATGATCGAAAAGTTAATATGATGAGTAATCTCGAAAGAAAAACAATGGATGCTCAATACGAGTGCTTATGAATTTACAAGCAAAACCGTTATAAAGTTTTTTTTTGTGTAGATAAAATGGCTTCTCACTCCCTGCGTGGGGCGAGAAGTAGTGTCAGGCAGTCTTACTTACTGACTAAAAACCAACCAGTATTTTTTTCCTGCTTCAATCTGGCTGCGGTACATTTTTGAGCTTGATCCGCAAACCCAACAGATTTAAATATCCGTAAGTCAGTTTGTTGATTGACGCGTTCAAACGAAATTCGTTCAGCTTCTGTTCATTTGTACAAATTGGAGCAAAGTTAATACAAAAGTTGCTTTGTATACAGTCAATAAAACTGTATTGGCTGAATCATTAATTAATTAATTTTACATACTTTTGTGAATACTAAAATGTTTGATTTAAATAATATCGTATTTAATTATCTCAATTTAATACTTCGTAGATGGATTACTTAAAAGTAAAGAAAAACATATTAGAGATATATACGCTAGTGGACTACGTAACAGAGTAGGTATCATGTGCTGTGCGTACAGCTTATGATCATGAGTCTCGGTTTGAGCTGAAACTGGTCGGGCATCCTCGAATAGTTTAAGTATGTAGCGCTAAGCAATAGATATGTTTTACTTTTATTCTTTTTAATATATGCAATTTAAACAGAATTTTATTATATATGTGGCTAGTAAATATGAAATCGGCTTCTTTTAGAAAGAGCCAGTCAGAAAGGTCAAAGAAAAAGAGGTTTCTAATTAGTTTAATATCTAATTATCTGATTGCTTTTCAGATTGGACTTTTTTACACATTGGGCACTTAAAAATAATTTTCTAAGCAGTCCATCATTCATGAAATACAGCCTGGTGACGGACAGACAAACAGACAGCGGAATCTTGGTAACAGTGTAAGTTAGTACTTTGTACTTTTAGTATATATTATATGGTACTGCCATCTCATGTATGAGGGTGTGGGTTCGAAACCTGTCAAGTACCAAGTTACGTAAACAACTTTGTACTAAGGTGACGTGATGGTTTTAAAAGAACTATTGTCTCCATTTGTTTCAGAATTGACCCAGATAGCTCAGTAGTGGGTAGAAAAATTGGAGTTAGCAGCTCTTATTATTAATACAGTTTTCTTTCACTGTCTTTCCAATCTCAAGCCAGTAAACTCGATCCTCAGCCCTTCAAATAACCCTTTTTTTTCTTTTTTAAAGGAAACGTCATATAATTCCCTCCCTGGATCGGGCTAGACTGAGTGATAGAGCCTACTCCTGCTGCTACTCCGGACTGGAACCGTATTCGGGTAAGCCCTTACCATCCATTTACCAAGTATTGTCTCTCCACCTTTTGCCAAAATGTTATGTTAAACATTCAATGTTTGACTTACATCTTTGAGAGACGACGCGATAAATATCACATACACACTCGTTCCACCAAGACACACTCCAGCCATCGCCGCATCGACGAAATGTCTGGAAAATTAAACTTGTGTAAATACACTGAAAGTTGGTAAAAGGTCAGAATTCGGAATTCCCTAACTGCTTCGTTGGTGAGATGTGCAAATATAACTACTAAGTGTTGAATCTAAAACTTTATTCTCAAATTAAAAGTAAATGGTGTCGAATTATACTTTTTTAAGGGCTGTTTTTTCAATGGTTAGATAAAAGTTACCTGACGAATAATTATGATGCTGTCGCGTCAGAATGTTTGTATAAGAACAGTCTTAGAAAGAAAGAAGAAGAAAGAAAACAAATTTATTCGACAATTTATTCTTTCTTTCTTATACACTATATTATTATATACTTATGCTATCACTGGACAGCAATAAATTTATTCTTCAGATAACATTTATCTGACTATTAAAATATCAGCCATTAATAGATAGAAATTTTAAAAATAGAAAAACAGTTCTGTTTTTATAATTTCTTTTCTTTCAACTTCAATTGTTGAGGCAAAGGCGCCGTATGATCAGATTTTTTTTTATGGTTCAGGACGATACAACGATCACCCATGATCGTTCTGCCAAACCAGAGTGCAAAGTGCAATCTTATTCTGATCTTGAAGATTGGGAATTTAGGCAATAACTTGTTATAATATATTCATGTGCGCATTACGCTAGGATTCACAAGTTCACATAGAAAATGAACCACTAAATTCTTTTCTTTTTAATTAAACTTATTACCAATGAGAATTTCAGCTCCTTTTTTACCTGATATGTTTCGAGTATGGCCTCAATTTCTTTGGTCCATGCTTAAAGACTTCTTCGCACGTGTCTGTATAACTAAGTGACGGTACTCGGGCCTTCTTGCAAATTTCGCGTGATGTTGATACCTGTAATAAAAAAATATTTTTAAATTAGTGGTATAGAACATGTTTTAATTTAAAAATAGTGGAAAATGTGGCTTGCTGTGGATGGATTAAAAAAGTTATAGTCAAACTCTTGGTGCCCTATTAATAACATTAATGGGCAGCAGAAGATACAAACTATTTATTTATTTATTTACTTATTATTAATGAACATCACACATACAGTAAATAGAGAACAAATACAGAGACAGAGGTACATAGGAACTGCATATTCCTATATGGAACCTCTTCCTGCAGTCCTACGAAAAGAAAAATGTAAGAGACATAAGACACTGTGTGACAAACTAAATAACAGGAAAAAGAGACACTTTTTTAAGTGTGGGAGAGCCATCCTTCGGCACGAATGGGTCGGCTCGACCGGAGTTATACCACGGCCTCACAGAAAACCGGCGTGAAACAACCACAACGTTGTGTTTCGCCGTGTGAGTGAGGTTACCGGAGGCCCAATCCTTTTCCTTACCGGACCCTTCCCCAATCCCTAAATCTCCAAATTCCTAATCCCTAAAAGGTCGGCAACGCACTCGTAACTCCTCCGTTGCGGGTGTCCATGGGCGGCGTTGATTGCTTACCATCAGGTAATCCGTCTGCTCGTTTGCCGACTTATTACAATAAAAAAAAAAAGATTTTAAATATAAATATGGACTACGTGATGAAGTTGAGAATAGTCTAGTCAAAAAAGACCATGCCTACTTATGGCTTATCTCCTTAAAATGCCGGCAACTCTTTTGCTTACCATCAGGCCATCCATTTACTAGTTGGCCGACCTATCCCATTAAAACCCCTAGAAATCGAGACTTTGAGCACATCGATAATAAATTATTTCAATAATCAATCAATAATTTCAATTATCATACATACATACATCATACATGTCTGCACTTTTGCTGATTAAAACAGTCGTTCTATTTATAAATTTTGAAGGTAGATATTTAGGCAAATGAAAAAATATTTCCATTGAATGCAGTAAATAGTAGTTATTTGCTTAATTAAAAAAAATGTATATCGCATATGATCAACAGTAATATTGTGATACAAATAGATCGAATGATATTTCAAATATATATTTGTAATAATTGGATGAATTCCTCGAACAGAGTTAACTAACATATTCACAAATGTGGACCAAATTGTCATTGTTTATTCACCATGGACAAAATAAAAACATTTTTATATTCAAATAATGTTTTATACCTCGAACTGATTTTAGGGTTATATTTTAGATGCAGTTCGTCTAAATTCGTTTGTTTATTAACAAAACTCTATTGTTTTGCACTGTGTGCTTTTATTTTTGTCACTTTTATCATGGAAACGCTATATGGTTTACCCACGGTTGCTGATTATCTTTACAGTGTATCTATACTTATAGAATCAACATTGAGCATTGGTTTATCTTTAATTACAGAACAAAGAACAGTGATAACTTTTTCTAATTCTTTGTCGTCTTTGGCAAAGAAAAGTCAATGTTACACTTTACATGTTTTGGTGTTGCTATTTCTTTTTGAATCCGTTATTATTTTCACACGTTCAGAAGGTTACTCAATTTTTTTTTTTTCTATGGGTTTTTATAAGTGTGTTTTATGTTACATAAATAGATTAACGTTAATTTATGTGACGGATAAATATAGTCGAATAGTGCACATTCTCTGTAAAACATTGGAAAATAATTTAAAAGACATACGTTATAATGATATAGCAAAAATCAGGCATCTTGAAGTGTTTATGAACAGCTTTATGATGTTGAATCAACAGTTGAAATCGACTAAGAATTGTATGAGAATTAGGGTGAGTTGTAGTAACAAATTTATTTAGACCCAAAAAGCATATTTTCTCAGCGTATTTTGTATGATATGTTGATAAAATCTGAAGAACAGAACCCGATGTGGCCACGCTTCGTAACAAGTAAGCTGGCTTGAACGGAGTGATACCTCTACTTCACAAAATATCGGCGTGGAACAATATTTGCGCTATGCACGGTGTGATACCATACCAAAGTCTCTCTTCCTAATTACCAAATCGCCAAATCCTTAATATTTTCATCCCCTGTCAAGTCGAACTGTTCTGGATTAGCGGGTGTCACTTTTTACTTACCATCAAGCAATCGTGTTGTTTGTTTTCTGACCTTCTTTATTGTAAAACATAAACATTATGTTGAGGAATATTAAATTTTAATTCTATTTTTGTTATAGATAATACTGGCTTTAGGATGTGATTGTTTGAAGACCCTAGTTTCGATATACGTTGCCAACACTATTTCGAATGTCGTAAGCTATTTTTTCGTTATAAATGTTTTGCTCTGACTTTTCTTATTCTGTGACTGTGTTTCATATGTCTTCCATCATGCATAAAACTTTCACTTCATTGACGAAACTACGGTATTGTAAATTCAACATCACAATCATCAAATATTAACTTTACATTGTTTCCAAAAATCTGATTTTAACAATTTCTGCTTCTTGATAAACAAACTTTACAATATAACTTCTATCGTTTTTACTGAGAATTTCGGTATCAATAAAATACATAATATGCATTAAATGCATGATATTTTACATTATTTTTTATGAAGAACCTATGGACTTCATCCCATCTTGGGTGGGTGGAACCACCCAGTTCCAACTTCTACGTTGACCGAGGTGGCCCCAGTACATCATTGTGCACTCATATCTTCGGCTGGATACCGTCCCTGGTGAGCCACATCTGTGGTGGTTTAATGGCTTTTGAAGAGCCAGCGAAGCTCGGCTGGTATTGATTGAGAATCTTTCTGATTAAAACAAAGTTTCAAATCATGTACTGAACCGGGCCATGGTATATTGCTGCGCTGTACTGACAACTCCGACATGGCATCAGCCCTTTTGTAGCCCATCAGTGGTGATCTGATGACTGTTTGAGACATTATCAACAAATACTTCAAGAATTATAAATAATAGTTTAACATATATTTCAGCCACTTGAAGTTGTAATTTGTTGGACACTGGAATTGAAAAATTTTACATTTACATCATTACTGCCATCCGTTTTAATGGAAAGGAGTGCTAATAACCTTGACAACTTGAAGGCAGTTCTTGCAGAAGAACTTATGCTTTGTGAAGGTATGTCTAAAAATCTACAACGATCGTTTCATTATACCGTCATGCGTTTTATACTCGAAAGAGGCGTTGAGGTGGAATTTTTATTTTCACAATCATACAAGTGCAATTTTAATGCGAGATGGCATTCGATGCAATCTCAAATGCGGTGTTGTACTACAGTAGGTACTAATTGAAAGTCAAGCGATATTATTATAATGATAAACGCTGAGGAAAAATCCAAACTAATATTATAAATGCGAAAGTAACTCTGTCTGTCTGTCTGTCTTTTCTTCACGCCCAAACTACTGAACCTATTTGTGAGAAATTTGGTACGGACATAGTTTGGAACTTGAGAAAGGACATACAATAGTTTTTAAACCAAAAATCTATAGGAAGTCATTATTTCACGCGAACAAAGTCGCGGGCAAAAGCTAATAAATTATAAATTCAACACAATATAGATATCCTGTTGATATGTAACAAACGTGTTATACATAATTAAAATATAAAAAAAAAATGGATTGCAAATATACACACATAATTATATGGCACCTAATACCACATAAAATGTGGACCCACTTATGTAATAAGTGCCATATATTGGGAACAATTTGAAACACTGTTCCACTGAGTAAGTTTGAGCTTCTTTTGTTAACGAGAAAGTTCTTTTCCTTTAATAGGTATGTACTTTATACGGCACGGAAAGTTAACCCCAGGTTTAGTCAAAATGGCACAAATAAAATAGGTATCAACTCTTTAAAATACCACCTAGCACCTAGCTTGATTGACGAACAGACTTACGTACTGTTATTGTATTTTGACCTTTCAAAAGTGATATTTCCTGTACGCCTTTAAAGTGGTTAACGATGGCTTTTGGCGATAGTACATGTGTATCATTTAGTTAGAATAAAGGTCTTTTGACTTTTGAATAAGGGCATAATTTTCAAATGATCATTTGTATGTTTTCAGATAAAAATCTACGCAAAAAGATATACCACACGCTTCGGTACATTGGTGCCTCTTCAACGTCATATACAGCTTGGAATGGATTTCCTTTGAACATTTCTCTGTCTTCTGGCTATATAAATCTATGTATATCATATTTTATTGCCTTATTAGAAATAGCTATCTAATTATTAAGCTTTTATTTGTTTCGAGATGTATGCATGAATATATTATTATGTAAAATCTTGCGCGAAATTTTGTAGCAGACATCTTGATCTGTTTTGTAAACGCGTTTAGTTTCCATTACCATAAAAACTAGGATAGGTTATAGTTTAAGTCCATTAAGATTTATACTATAGCAACGTCTACGTCTTTAGCTATGAATAATAGCTCTAAATTACTTATTTAGGCCTTATAAAAGATTTTTTAAATGTGTTTTCAATTACATTTGTTTTATTAATAAATTATCAAAATTATATTTGGTTGTTTGAATTTATACGTTTTTTTTTATATTTATCATGGTTGAAATGAATGAATGAATGAATATTCTTTATTGTACACCATAATGATAAAAAAACACAGGAAACAATAAACACAGAAAAAAGACCAATTGGCGGTCTTATCATTTAAAAGCAATTTCTTCCAGACAACCTTTGGATGGAGTTTAATTGTAGAAGAATTTAATACGGGCAGTTTACGGCATACATAAAAACAATAAAAAAATAAAAATAATACATAACGTTTAAGGTAATAAAGAATAATTAAATAAATAGTAGAAAAGAAGAAATACTATAAATAAAACACAACAATAGCTATAGTGATGGTAAATAATTTAAGTTACTGTGCCATGTAGTGATCTTTCACCATTTTATGAAAAAAAAAAACTAATTCAAGGTATGGAAAGTCCATAAAATGTAATTGATCAACTAAAAATAAAGTAATATTCAATCG